CCGCTCCGCGTTATGTGGGATCTTCCCGGACCGGGGCAAGAACCCGTATCCTCTGCATCGGCAGGAGGACTCTCAACCACTGCGCCACCGGGGAAGCCCTGTTACCTGCTTTTTATAAGGCTTCTCACTTAGTCCTCACCAGTCACCCTATATACTGGGCATCTTTTCTAAAAAGAGGTTACTAAGGCCCCCAGTGCAGTGATGGTGGCAAATGGCAAAAAGTAGGGCCTGGATTTGAATACGGAACTACTGATGGAGCGCGGAACTCACGACTCTTCCCCCTTTCCCAACCCTCACACCTGCTGTGGCCGGAAACAACTACGTCTCCATGAACTGGCCCACTCCTCTCCGAGGCTGTGGGACCTGCAGAGAGGCACAACATCTGCCTCCATTTCATCCCCCCTCCTCCGAGGATGTCTCCGTTGTGGGCTACTTCCAGGGGGACCTTGTCGAATCAGACCCCGCCCACAGCAAATTTCAGGCCAACCTCTCTCTTGTCTGCGCCTCGACTTCTTCATCTGTAAAATGGGGAGCCATGAAAGCTCAGGCTTCAGGTAGCTTTACGTAATCTGTGTAGCGCTTTGGCAAAGGTCCCTTCTCTTCAGACTGGGTCCTGAACTCAGTGGGCGGGGGCCATAGCAAACTGATTGCAGCGTCCAGAACTTCACAAGCAACGGATCTGCACCCCCCCCCACCCCCCAATAACCTCAAGCAGCGACCCTGAATGCCCGTCTACTAGCCTTCCTGCTCTGTAACTCGAAAAGTGATCTCTCAAATGCCTGGACATATGCCCGCCCTAGTGAGGTCTGATCTTCCCCATTCCTACTCCGCACTGCACAGGTAAGAAAAATGAGCCCAGAGAGGAGCAGCCTTTTGCCCGAGGTCACACAGCGAAGGACTGGGGCAGGGTGGGGGATGGTGGGGGAGCGGTGTTGTGGAATTCCAGGCGGACGTTGGCGCCCGCTTGTCTGCCCGCTTCTGATACCCGGGTTTGGGAGAATAGGCTGCTAACGAGCGGCCCATTAGGAGGAATTGTCACTCCTCTGGGAGCGAGGTTGTCCCATTAGGGCGAATTGTCATTCCTCCTGGAGCGAGGTTGTCCCGGCTCCGCGCAGGCTGAGTGCCGGGGCCGAGAGCAATTAACGCGGCTCCGGCGCGGGCAGCCGCCTCTGCCCCGGGCAGCGGGGGCGGGGCGGGGCGGGGGCGGGGCGCCCGGCGCGGCTGGAGCCGGTCACCCGGCGCAGCCCCTTCCCCCGGAGCCCGCCTTTCATCTCCCCGCGCCTGGCGCCTGCCCGCACCCCTGGCCCGTCTACAGCCCCCTCCTCCGCCCCTCCCCCGCCTCCTCCGAGCCGCCGGGATCCAGCGATCGGTCCTGAGGTTGCAGACGCCGCGGTCCGCGCGCTGTCCTTCACGGTTTTCGCCTTGGGACTTGCGGTGCGCGTGCGCTGCTGTTCCACGCAGGCCCCGGGCGCGTGCGAAATGCCCGGGGCGCGCGCGAAGGTGGAGTGCGGCGGGTCTGCGCGCACCCGCAGATGCCGCGAGGGGAAATGCCCGGGTCCACCACTTCCTACCTGCGTGACCCGGCCGCAGAATTAGCGCTTCCTGGCTTTAGGCTTTTCATCTGTAAAATGGGGAAAATAATTTCTGCCCGGAGCGATGTGTTGGAAGAAACGAATGAAATCATGGAGGACAGGTCCAGGTACTAAAGCAGAGGTGACGCTTAGTGGTGACTGAGTTCTGATTGGAACCTCACGTTTCTGCCTGCGTATATGTCACCGGGAACTAAGCTTTACTGAATGCTCCCTAAGTGTCAAAGACAGACATCCGCTAAGGGACTATAAACTTTTGAGGGCGAGCCGAATTCTCAGTCCCAGAGATTTTACAAAGAACCCACCGTGAACTACGTGAAAGGGGGCAGAGTGCCTCATTTTGGGTATCTGGCAAAGAGAAAGCATTCGATACATTGTTGCTGCTTTTGAAATACAATAATATGGTGGAGCTTTTTTGGATCCCCTACACCTGCTAGTTATCTTATGTAGCCCCTTGAACTGAATTGCCGCAAGAGCCGTCCTGATTAGGGGTTCTCTCTCATTTTAGAGGAAAAAAAATATTAGGCTAAGGGAGGGGCAGTAACGCGACCAAGGTCATGCGGCCAGGTAGAGGTGTATACAACATTCTGAAAACGCAGCTAACGCAGCACCAGATGCACAGACGGGGTTTTCCACAAAGGGCTAGAACTGTGTTGAGGTTCCACTCTTTTCACAGCAGAAGAGACACCCTTTCCTGAATTGTCCCAACCTCAGCAGGCAGAAAACAAGATGCGCAGGCTAGTTGCTCCCTGTACATCTCTCCTGTTCATGGCCAGAGCTTGGCAACCTCCCTTGGAACACCAGTTGTTTGTTTAATCTCTACTATTTTCTCATTTCTGGCTTTACAATTTTTTTCCTTTGCCTGGACATCAGGACCAGAGAGTAGGGAGGGGAACCTACCTTATCCTCTCCCAGAAAAGTTCATCAAAATAAAAGAGCTCTCTCTACTAGTACTAATTAAAACAAACAAACAAACAAAAAACCCCAGGAATGAGCTTGCATGCCCCCTAATTGACAAATATTAGCAAGGAGTTTTCAAGAACAATTATCAAACAGTGGCTGGGCACGTTTTTGGCAGCAGAGGGCTAAACGAATTTCAGGTTTGCTTCCAAAATATGTAGCCTGCACCTTGCTAGTTTCCTCTAGGAGGCAGAGAACTTAATCTGGGTTTACCTGTACTGTATTTGAGATGCATATCAAGCCAACTATCATCAAGTATGACTCAAGGGGAAAATGCATAAGGCATATATCTCCAGATAACTTTCCTAATTTTTTTTAAATAACTTTCTCTGAACTTCCAGTTTGTTGATAGTGGTGGGAGAAGGGGGTTTTAGAAGGCTGTGGTTAGAACTTCTTTACTTTTAAACTTTTATTCAGGACCATTTCTAATCAAATTGAATTAAGTGGCCAATGCAGATTGTTTTTATCCTCTAGGATTCAGATAACACCTATTCTGGTTATCCTAGGCCAGCACAGTTTCACTCCAGGCAGAGGTTTGGGGTGAAGAGAGGTGCTCTGGGAAGTGGATCTGGGGGTCAAGCCTCTAAAAGTCTTGAATGGGGAAGTAGGTCCAAGCTCTGGGCATCTCAGTAATTAAAAACAGTGTCCCTTCCTTCCAAGGCTTTGGGAACTGTTTAGCAAGCATCTGCTGTGTGCAAGTCCCTGAGCCGGGTCACTTCTATTCACCTCATCACCTGCGGGATAATCGCTCAGATATAGGAAAAGGCAGCCGCAGCCTGGAAAGAGTCATTTGAAGAAATAGGTGTTGGCCCAGCGGCCTGCACAGAGATTGGAGGCCTCTGCACCTCGGAAGTTCGCGCGCTCTCCCCTTTCCCATACTGAGACAGTCATCACTAAGACTTTGAGATGTAATTACCCAGGGTATAATTTGAAGTGGGGTGGGGATATCTATACTTTTTTTTTTAACCAGGTGCAATGAATAAAAATGTCCTTCCCCAAAAGATACACAGGTCCGGGGTGGGCAAACTTGGCACCCAGTTCTGACACTTGCAAGGGTGTGTGTGTGTGGGGGGGGGTGG